CCCCCACACACACACACACACTCATACAAACACATGCACACAGAGTTTTCATGGGAGTGCCAGCTAATCCGAAATAGACGTTGGCGATTATAGTTCATCATTCACTTATCTGCTCGGTTGCTCTCATAACACAGATATTGATATTCATTATTAGGCTTATTGTCTTGGTCTTTCTTTTAATGTTCACGTTCTCAAAGTAAGTTATTCTTGGCCTACCCATTCTTCCTTCTATTTTTCCAGTGAGAGCAATATGTTCAATGTCTTTATGTCTATTCAAGTGTCCACAAACCGCATTCGTCTCTTCATAATTCTTTTTATAGGCGTGCGACCCACGCAGGCTGTTTTTAGCACTATCTTCGTTGGGTTTTTTTTTCTTCCATAGAATTTTCAACAATCTCAAAAGAAACCACATTTCTATTGCTTCAAGTTCACATTTTTGGCAACTGTAAAGCGTCCACAACCATATAGCGTTAAAACATTCCTATTTTGGTTGTCATTGAGAGTTTGTTGCTGTTCAAGTCTGGATTCATTTTAATGTAATTCTTCAGCTTCTGCAATTCTTCGTTTTATTTTTGTGGAACATTTGGCATCGGGTGTAATTTTATATCCTAGTTATTTAAACTGTTAAACTTGTTCGATTTTTCACCTTTGTTTATGACATTACAAACATGATTTACAACTTTTTAAATGACACATGTACCAATTATATTTCTATTTTCTTTACACGAAAAAAAATTCCTAATGTTCACTTTTTGCAACAACAGTATCTAGAAGCAAATGTAGGTGTGAATCTTTACTCAAAACTATGTCATCGGCATATCATAATAATATGTTACTGATCTATTCTCTTATCACTTCGAGACCAGGACTTTCTTCTGCGTGTCTAAGGATTGTTTCACTGTACATTATGTTTACGAAGTCTGGGGAAACGACACAGCTTGGTCTTCCTACCTACCAACCCACCTCTTCTTTTCTCTATAATCTATTTATATTTTATGTACTCCGCCTCGGTTCTTACAGCAGCGTTATTGTGCTCTCTCTCTCTCTCCCCCCCCCCCCAATATTCTTTAAAATTCTTTAACTTTTTCTAAAAATACACGTGTCGATTTCTCAGAATTTTAAATAGTAATCTTTGTCAAGAGCCGTTGAGTCATCAATGAGGCATAAATAATAGAACTTTCTGTGATTAAATAAATCTTTGCATAACACTGCTAGGGTAGATATAACGTTCCAAGTTCCGGTGTCAGCAACAAAGCCAAATTGTGTTTTGGAAATCTCTGGTCTTATACTATTTATCATTCCTTCCATTAGTAATTGCAGCAAGTTAAAAAAAAATTGTTTTCTTTAATGGGCATGAACGGTGTTGAGCCAAAAAATGGAAAATTTGATAAATAGTGAAAAACATGTCGTGGCAAAATGCCAGTATCTTCACTTTGATTATTTAGGCGAGCGCCTGATTCACCACGCTGCCTCACATATTATCTTCTGGAATCTTACCAAAGTTATAGATATGATTCAAGAACTTTACTATTGTTATTTCGGTAGCTTATTCTTCAAATAAGATTATCAAGCACACAGCAGATGCAGGCCTAATATCTGGCCCTGTAGCTATATATAGTCTCTGTGTTATTTTTTAAATGGAAGCTTGCACTTCTTCTGTCAGAACTTGCGGTCCATTCATTTATTCATTTTCTTTTCATGACAATTTTATCCCTAATTTTATTCTTAAAAAGCTCTTCTTCGTAACCTGATCACTGCGAAGCGTGCTGATAAAATGAATTACTTCTCGGATTTGAGCCCTATGGAAATAGATACAGCACGCTTACAGGTGAAGTTTTTACAATTTATAAGTATAAAATAATAATATGGCATCAATAGAAAATCTACAAATCTGACCCTATTGTCAATTTTTGGCCAATATCTCTAATTAAGATTGCGACAAGTAGCGCATTTTGTCAGCACGCCTGTTTAAAACATAGCCTTTGTCCATTGAAAAATCAGACATCTCCTTTTGATTTTATGCAGCTTGTGTTTGAACATCCCTCTTCTTTGATTTTTGGAATGCATGTACATGTATTGGCTGTCGTTGTTTTGATTCTTCTCTATTTCTTGATACCGATCAATGTTTCATAATAATATTATAAGCTTCATTACATTTTTCTCTCTCTTTATTTCCCTATCTAAAAAGTTGTACTTTTCCTCATTTGATTTTGGCAAACTTTGCTTTCTGATTTGTTTTGTTTCAATGTTCAATATTATGTTCTGGGTCATCCACTTTTTACTTGCTCGTTCAGATTTTTCTTCGGGGGAGAGGGGTATTTTTTCCATAGCTTCCTTTTCTGGATCCTCTCTCTTTTATACACACGCACACACACACACACACACACACACACACACACACACACACACACACACACACACACAAACACGCACACACACACACACACACACACGCACACACACACACACACATACACACATGCACTCACACACACATACAAACACACACGTGCACACGAACTAACGCGCTCTCTCTCTCGCCCCCCCCTCTCTCTTTCTTTCTCTGTATCCATTCCTCTTCTCTCTTCATCTCTCTTCTGTATGTGTCTCCTTCTTCCCTCTCCTCACTGTCTCACTGCCTCCCCCTTCTACTCTCCCCCCCCCCCTTCTCTGTCTCAGTGTCTTTCTGTCTCTCTCTGTCTTTATGTCTCTCTGCGTCTTTCTGTCTCTCTGTCTCCTTTTCTTTCTCTCTCTCTCTCTTTCTCTCTCTCCCCCCTTAATGACTCCCCGGCTACCCATTTCTGTCATGCAAATGCGTTCGAGCTTGAACATCGTGCTAGTGTCTGCGTGTGCGTTCGTCTGTCTGTGTGAGCCTTCATGCCAGAATAACTACTTCTGTGCGTGAGCTGGAGACAGTAAATCACCCCTGAATGCGCATTTAAGCACGACTGTCATTTCTAGATAAAGGACCCGACGCTCGAGAATACGCGCTTTCTTGGAAGGAGAATCGGAAATCAATCCGCGGCGAGAGCTGAGCCGAAAAGACCCCATAAAAATAGTTCCCCTATATTTCGCTATTGTTGCATTCATTTCGGCCTTTGAAAGAAGTCTGTCTGCACGACTGGAAATACACACAGGTCTAGGAGTCTCGAGGAATCTGCCAGCCGTGAGTAAATGAACAGCGTACGGCTCAGCTGAGAAGCAGACGAGGAGGGTGAATGGCGGGAAACTAGGGCTTCAGAACTGGGACGCGAGAGGATTACGATGATAGGAACACTCGAGGCCTGAAAATGATGATCTTGTAAGCAAATACCGGCCTTACTCACGTCCACCACAATCTGTACACAGATTCGCCCCAGGAAATATATCGTCGTCTCAAAACCATATTTTGTCCAAAGTGCACTCTTTACTTTAGTAGGCCTACACTTTGGACAAAATAATTGTGAGGCGACGATAT